GAACCTAAAAAAATCCTTAGATAAGTTGTTAAACATCGTCTGTTATGTATCAACCTCAGTGGTCATCTGATGCTGTACAAATTGGTGATTAGATCAAAACGTTATGTTTTGAAATACAAATTGTTGTTCTTTAGGGTTTTTTTACCAAAACGTTTCGATAGGTTTGAATTTTTGTATTAAATATTACAGAATTTCTAACACAAGCATGTTTGAATATTCCTTCCCGCTAATATGTTCAGAATCGCTGCCTCGCGATACTGTCGGCGGCAATAAATTCAAGGGGTGAACCCACCCCTTTTGATATATAAGGTCTAACACGTCCCAGGGCAATTGCCTCCTCAAGTTATCTACCTATATGTAGATCCTGTTTTCCCAGATCGATAATCTCGCTATCGCGGAACATATTAGGCCGAGGTGGATGGAACGTTGCTCCCAGGGGTAGACCGCATACGCTCCCACCCACGTAAAACCACCCCCGTTCTGCGCTGGCGAATCAAAAGACGCGTTGCGCCCCAAAATGGCTTTAGTGATAAAACAACAATTGATTAACGGCGAATTTTTAGCCATTTGAATGTGGTACTTAATTAGCCAATGGTTGTGACCGTTTTTCGGACCATTTTTTTAGAAATATTTTTGAAATTAAACTACAACCTTTTTTGCAAAGGATGAAACTGGTCCCATGGGATTACCTGATTTTGAAGTGCACGGCATATTTTTTTGAAATTGATTTGAAATCTGATTGCCTTTCCATCTTACATACAGTGATATAATACCTTTTTAATTGTTGTTGGTTTACATCCAAACTATACCTCTGTTTTTCGTCAATTCGAGAACTTTTATGTCAGAATGATTTACATTTTGTTTTTTCCAATTTCATAGTTATTTTTCGAACAATCTCTTTTCCTCTGTATATACACATGCAAATAGTCTTTTTGGAAAGTTATCTGTTTATTTCAAACTTTTTCTCTGTACATACAGAAAAATAATAGTTTTGGAAAAATATCAACAATTGCTCTATTAGCGGCGGACTTTTAAGCATTTACAATTTTTGAATAAAAAAACGACATCTATCAATTTATACAATTTATCTGTTAGTATAAGTAGTAAGTAAACAATTGCTTCAATCATTAAACTTTACTAATCAAGCGTAGAGACCGTTTTTCGGACCATTTATTAAATTGAAGTACATTTCTTGGGTAGAATAAACCGGTTCCATAAAATTTCAGGCTTTAGAATTTCGACATTATTTTCTGAAAATTGAGAATCATGGATTTTGGTTTATTATTCAGAAATCGGGAGATGCGGTCTGGTATGATGTAGGTTTCAGAAAAACATTTTCTTTATCGTGCCAACGTTTCGATCTTTATTGAGATCATCTTCAGGGCCTGGTATTTACAAACATTATTTAAATTTAACAAATACAT